GCGATCCGTTGCCGGTCACGAAAAAAGACAAAAAGGAAAAAAAAAAAAAAAGAAAAAAAAGAAAAGCAACTCAATAAACATGTCCAGGAAAAGACTGGAGGAAAATACACTAAAATGTTAGCAGCTACTTTCTCTGGGTGATGAGATTACAAATGGTTATCTCTTTTCTTTTTCATGCTTTTTCTCTACTTTCTAAATTTTCCACAATAGATACTTTATTTTAAAAACAGTGATTCAAGGACTATCATTTGTCTAAGAATTATGCTAGGGAAGTTAAGGAGAAAGACAGAGGGGGTAAAATGGGAGATTATTTTTGATAAGAAAGAAAAGAACACTGAAATGGAGAATTAGGAAACTTGGGTTTTATCCCACTTCTGCTGAGAGATTTCCACAAGTCATTTCCCCTTTTTGAGCTCATTTTCTTATTTGTAAAATTAACTGTCAAGAAGTATAAACTTGTATTTTAAATTTATCTTTATAATTCCAAGGCTTCGATTTAGGGTGACAGAAGGTTGATGCCACCATTAAGCAGAGTTAGAGGACTTTGAAGGAGGACAGGGAGGCGGACCAGGGGCAGAGAGAGTGTAGTTGTGCACGAGTTGAGTCTCAGGTTCTAGCCTCACTGCAAGATGCTCAAGGGGCAGCTGGATATTTGAGAGCAGAGCTTGATGGAACAGTCAGGATTAGAGGAAGAAACTGGGAAGACAGCTTCCTAAGGGGGAAAATGAATTAATCTCACCTACAGGGATGAGCATGTGTGAAACAGGAGATATTGTAGGAGTTACTGAGATGTCAGGACATATCTTTTCCTCAATCACACCTTACAGTGCACATATAAAGCAGTCCCTATGAGAAGTTTTAGATGTAATATTTACCACAATAATTAAAAGTATTATAAAATCTCCGATCCATAAACATTTAACCGCATTCTTCAGCAAATTAACAATTTAGAACAGAATAGAAGACATCTTGCATCTGTAATGTGACATTTGAACATCTCCCTAAATGGGTGGGTAGAAGCAGAGAACTCTTGCTCACAGATGCAAATACCCTGACAACAGGATGGAAAAGGGCCTCCCAGTGGAGAGAGTCTATGAAAAGGTTGCTGGAGCCTTGATGACTCGTTGCCATGGAGACTGCTTCAACTGTGGAACAAAAATCCTCCTTTCAAGAAGCCCTTTGCCTGCTGCCAAAATCAGCAGTCTTCCCCAAAGGCATTTTGTTGCGAGAGAAATGAAATCCTTTTTTCTTTTCTTACGAATACAACAGAGAGGTTGTAAAAAGCCAAATACACGAAAGAGACCCTCTGAACACAGAAACTGTGTGCTGGCATTTTTTTTTTTTTTTAAATCAGGAGAGAGAATATTTGAAGGCAAAGAATTTCTTACATGAATAAGTACTACACAGTTATTTTTGGAATTTACCCAACCTAACTTCAGTGTCACAGAGCCAAAAGCATACTCCATCCACCTTCTTTGAACATTCTGTCCTCAATTTGTAAAAACTAGGGGATAGAATATTCAATATCACATTTCTACTTGTTTTTCTTTTGTATATTGACAATTTGGAATTAGGCATCTTCGTCAACGAAGTCAAAGGAATGAGTTTTTGGTAACAGCCTTTTAAAATATAGCAGAGTTGTGGAAAATTAGAACTGGCAGAAACTTCGAGATAAGATAGCTCAATATCCTTGCTTTCCAGAGGAGGTCTGGAGAAGTAAGCTGATTTGCTGAAAATCACTGAGTGACCTATGGCAGAGGCTACCCCACAGGTGTCCCACCCCCTATCAGACAGCCCTTCCTCATGCTGACACTGTATGCCTCCCCGTAGGGTCCCAGAAGTCTGCTCACACCTCCCTGTGACAACTGTTATGAATTTAAAGATAACTCTGATCATGCCCCTCCCCCAGCTGATAAGCATCCGCAAGGAGGAATGGCAACTGGGAGGAAGGAAGCTGCCTGGGACAGGGTGACCTCGATGGGAAGACGTTAGGGAATGAGGAAGGGTGTTCAAGAGACTCTGGAGAGCAGGGACTGGCCGAGGAAGGGAGGAAGGTGTGCTGGAAGGAAGGAATGCTGCCAAGGAAGGAAGCAGGGCTGGGAAATGAAGGGATCAGGCTCAGGACCACAAGCAAGGCTGCAAACAGCCGGGAGGGAGGCAGCGAGAAGCGATTTGCTGTCCCTCAGGACCAGTGGTCTGAGATTACACTGATTGAAAGAGGGGGTGTAGACGCTGGATTGGGTATCAGGGGTCAGGGATTTGAGCCCCTAGCTCTGCCTATAACT